GTTGTTGGAGTGTGGGGGAAAACCAGAGTTCCCAGAGAAAAAACCCACACACACACACAGGGATAGCATGCAAACTCTGTGGAGACAGCATCCTGACCAGGCCCCGAACCAAGAACCTAATTGCTGCAAGGTAGAAGGCACCAACCACGAAGACACCATACCATCCATATTGGCCTGCATGATCTCATTGCTCAGCATTAGGTTTTCCCAGGTTACCATAAAAAAGTGAGATTATCTGGTACATTAAAGGCATTTTGTAATTTCATTTTTTTTATACAAACATCACAAGGTCATCATGGTTTTAGTAAAGCTACTCATGGAACTCACATGCTCCATTATTTCTTTATTCGCCCACGTTATCTTTATCTTTAGCTCTAATGTCCATTCTTTTGAAGGATGACAATCCGTGCACAATACCTCTGTATTTAGAGTGAAGGCTATTCACTTAGCAGAGTGAATATTATCAAACAATGGGAAGCTGTGCTTATTTGAATACCCAAGGTTTTGGCTGGACATAGAGTACCTTTCATTTACATAGTAATTATATATAAACAGATGCATAGCTGTAAAAAGTACATATTTAACTAAGTAAATAGACAAACACATTTGAGTTGTCAAACAAAAGTTTGTCCAAGGTGTGGGGCCTGTCCTTGTGGGGATTTAGAAGTAGATCCTTAAAGTGGAATTCCAGCTTACACCTAACTAGCCTTGTTTCCTGTCCCATCCTGACACCTATGTTAGGTAATCTTTGTGGGAAAGATGTAAATACTTACCTATTTGCAGGCTGCTCTGGTCCGGTCACGAGATCCGGCTCCCCTGTGTCAGCTAACGCAACAAGAGAGAGAAAAGAGCGCTGACAATGGACGGGCCATTGAAGCCTATGGGTAATGTCAACACTCCAGGCTTTACTAGCCATTGTTGGAGTGCTCTCCCCGTAGCCGCTGCTGGCTTACACAGGGGATCATGTGACCAGACCAGATTAGTTAGCAAAGGTGTTAGACGTGGGGAAGGGAAAGTTTTAAGGCTAATTAGAGATGTAGGTCGGAATACCTCTTTAAAGAGACTATTTTGGGAAAATTAAAATGCTGCAATTATAAAGTGTAGTCACCTAAACCTAAGGAAACCGCCATAACTTGTTACAATCCTATACTGAACTGTATTGATAGGCAAAGCTCTGGCACTTTCTTCAGAACCAAAGTTTACCCACCATACAGTTTCCTAAACATTCTGATTGGCCAGTGAAGCAGCTTATTACAGCTATGGGTCAATACAGATGTATAAGGGTAGGGGGGGTAGATGGTGTTAAGCGCCATCATTGCCTGGACAGGTTAGAGCATTGCCTGTCAGCGCAGTCCAACGAGAAGGTTTGGAGACTGCTACAAGTATGCAGCAATACATCTAAATGCCTGTACTTTGCAGTTGCAGCACTTTTATATTTTGTCCTCAATGACAAAGCAGGTGAAAAAATGATGAAATCAAAACATTGCCCATGCATCATCAAAATCTGAAATCTGGTTATAAACTATTCAGATTTTGGTGCCCAACATCCAATGGATTAATGGCAGTTTGGTGTAATGCTGTTTTAAGCAGAAGTTTAGATTTCAGTGTATGGGTGAATCATTCCATACGGCAAACTCTTCATCAAACAACTTTTGCTTTCAAGGGTGGCAAGTGTTTTTCCGCTAGAAAGATATTACCTGATTTCAACTGAAGTTCTCCCAAGCATCCATAGGCTTCCTGGTGCCTTTCATATTGTCCTTTAATCGCCTCCTTTTCATCAGGCGCTAGAAATAAAATAAATAAATTATGAAAATGATGTAGGATAACTGCATCATGCTTTTATTCTAACATGTTACTCACTATTGGACCACGGTATGGAAGAAGTAGCATTTATTTATTATTTATTTATTTCAGGTACTTATATAGCGCCGTCAATTTACGCAGCGCTTTACATATACACACACTAATAAATATATATATATATATATATATATATATATACACATATATAAATATATACATACATAAATATATATATATATATATATATATATATACATACATACATACATACATACACACACACATAAATATACACACACACATTGTACATTCACATCAGTCCCTAACCCTCAAGGGGTGTACAATCTAAGGTCCCTAACTCACATTCATACATACACATACTAGGGACAATTTATAACTCCAACTATTACTAATCAGTTACAGAAGCTAAGTAAAACTAACTAATACGTTCTAGAACATTTATTGAAGTAATGACTATTCCTTTTTCCGCAAGGTATTTTTTTTCCAAATTCTTTATTTAAGAATAGCCGTATCCAACAACGTCAGAATAAACAAGGAAATATATACCAGTCAGTCTGCACCAGACGTCATTTTCGAAACAAATATAGAGAGATTTACATTATAAGGAATAGAACACGAACGTCCTAGGGGGCTCCCAAAGATATGTATTATAACATTGTTTGCATCTAGGTAGGCATAAGCGAATAGCAAAGACATCATAAATGAGCCAATGGCTCTGCATATGTTTCTGGGAAGAGCATGTGTATTTATACACTGCTCAAAAAATTAAAGGAACACTTTGAGAACACATCAGATCTCAATGGAGAAACATATCATGCTGGATATCTATACTGATATGGACTGAGTAATGTGTTAGAACGTAAGGATGCTCCATCGTTTGATGGAAATTAAAATTATCAACCTACAGAGGACTAATTTTTTTTTTTTAGAAATCATACGTACATAGGTGCATGCACCATCGGTCCGAGGTCTAAAACTAAGAACTGAGCAATCAAAGACCTCTGATCGCTCAGTTCTTAGTGCTCCATGAGCAGAGAGCTGGTGACTCTCATTCACCGCTCTCTGCTCTGCCCCCCCCCCTACCCCCATGCTCACTGGTGTGCTGGGCTGTGGAGAGGAAGGGAGCAGCTGGCCCAGGCTCTCAGAGGACTGCTGAGAGGCTGAGCCAGGTGCTGGTCCAGGGATCTGGGTGTATCCCAACTTTAAAGTCGGGATCTTTCCCCAGCCTGGATCGGCGGAGAGAGGTTTTCAGCTGAAAATGGGTCAGAGCAGTGCAGAACAAATTGTACTCCTGTGATCCACAGAAGTACAGCCAAATGAGCTTTATCTGTACTTCTTTAAAGTCTTTCGATGTGTTGGTTTCCATTTTCAGGCTTACTCACTGCATCGCATTTATGGAGCAGTGTTATCATCCTAGGCTGTTCTGATTTGGACTACAAACTTTCTCTTCTCATCCTTTTCACACAGAAGGGAATTGTTTTCTAGTCCCCAGGAGATAGTTGGGAAATCTGTTTGCATTGTTTAGGATATCAGGTCAGTCCACAGGAAGTCATAAAAATACAGGAATTCTGCCAAGAACAATAGATATTCCTTTGTACTTGAGGAAAGGTTTTTAGCCTGAAAAAAGAAAACTAATGCAGCCACCACATCTAGAACTGGTAAGCTGCTGTTTTATCTTTGAATTTCAATATCCTTTAAATTGTCCCTAGACCTGAAGATCCTTGCACCTTTGTTGCTGCCACCTTGTGGGCGGAGGTTTCATCCCTCTGTATCTTCCGGTTTATGATATTGTTGCGAACACTGGGACTACACTTCCCAGCATGCACTGGTGCTGTGACTCAGTTGACAGTGTGTACAGTATGTGGGAAAGGAGTGAGGCTGGCAGACCACACACTCCATAACAGAGTACAAAGCATGTGACTGCTACGCAGCTGCTGTTCAAGTCGAAGAGCAAGAAATTGGCTGCCACGACCGTGGAAAAAAGTCCCAAATGTACAGTAACTAATCATAGAGGAATGTTTATATTGTATATCTCTGCATTCTCATTCTCGTTCTCTTTTCATTCAACTGGAAAACAGTGGGCTGTATAAACTGAAACAGGAAATTAAACAGAAAATGCTACTAACAAAATATTTCTGAGTGCCAAGTATCAATTGGTTTGACGGATCTCAGTCCATTGTTTGTCACTTGAACAAACTTTTTAATTAATAAGTCTCTGGGGTGCATCCATAGAGGGCTCTCAACTAGGAGGCTTTAACTAGTATTGAACCCAAAAGCAAACATTTTTTGAATGGCAGCTTACTAGTTCTTAGTTGTGAAAGCTGCCTTAGTTTTTAGGCTTTCTTTCTTCTATTTTCAGTTGGTGATCTGGCCAGTAAGTCTGCTGTTTTTTCAAAAGAGCAAGCTCTCTGGCAGAGTTACAGGGATGAGAAAAACCTGACGGGTGGTTACAATGATCAGCTTTTATTTATGTAAAATATTTATCCCAAAAGGAAAAATAAAACGGTTTGCTGTAACTGAATATACAGTGAGGAACAGAAGTATTTGAACACCCTGTGATTTTGCAAGTTCTCCCACTTAGAAATCATGGAGGGGTCTGAAATTCACATTGTAGGTGCATTCCACTCTGAGAGACAGAATTAAAAAAAAAAAAAAATTCAGGAAATCACATTGTATGATTTTTAAAGAATTTATATGTCTTGCATTGCGGAACATAAGTACTGTATTTTCCGGCGTATAAGGCGACTGGGTGTATAAGACGACCCCCTAATTTTCCAGTTAAAACATAGGTTTTGGGCTATACTCGTCGTATAAGACTACCCCCCTTCTGAGGCAACACCATTTAACCCCTAGCCTACAGGGCACTTATACCCACTCCTCCCCCCCCCCCCCCCCCAGGCCAATTTTCAGCTTTCAGCGCTGTCACATTTTGAATGACAATTGGGCAGTCATGCAACACTGTACCCATATGAAATAGGTGGCACTGATGAAGAGGCACTGGTAGGTGGCACTGATGGGCATGGACAGGCAGCACTGATACATGGCTCTGATAGGCGGCACTGATAGGAAGCACTGACTGGCACTGTTAGGTGGCACTGATAGGCAGCACTGATGCACACCGATAGGCGGCACTGATAGGCGGCACTGATGCGCACTGATAGGCGGCACTGACTTGCACTGATAGGTGGCACTGATGGGCATTGACAGGCATCACTGATGGGCACTGAAAGGCAGCACTGATACATGGCACCCGATAGGCGGCACTGATGCGCACTAATAGGTGGCACTGATTGGCAGCACTGATAGGTGGCACTGATGGGTGGCACTGAAAGGCAGCTCAGATGGGCACTGATATGTGGCATTGATGTGCACTGGTAGGCACGGATATGTGGCACTGATGGACACTGACAGCTGGCACTGCTGGGGCCACACTGATCATCAGTGCCCTGATGATCAGTGTACATGTCCCCCCTCTGCGGAAAGCCGATTACCGGCTCTCCTCTCCTCTCGAGCTGTCAGCGTGACAGCTCGAGAGCAGAGAAATGCCGATAACAGACATTTCCCTGTTACATGTGATCAGCTGTGATTGGACACAGCTGATCACATGACCAAGCCGACATCTTCGGCTCTTTCCGTGATCGGTGATCCGGACACAGCACATCGCCGCTCATGCGCAGAGAATGGTAGGACGTCATATGCGCCAATCACGGCAAGTGATGTATTCTATTAATGAATACAGAGCCTGCTCGGATTGGCTGCATCAGAGAGGCAGGCTGATGATGTCACAACTTCAGCCAATCCGAGCAGGCTCTGTATTCATTAATAGAATACATCGCTCGCCGTGATTGGCTCAGCACGGTACACTGTATGTAGCTGAAGCTACCATACAGTATTACCACACATCCAGCGGTTCTATACCCAGAGTATAAGACGACCCCCAATTGTTGGGGTATGTTTTTAAGTAAAAAAAGTAATTCTATACGCCGGAAAATACAGTATTTGAACACCTGAGAAAATCAGTGTTAATATTTGGTACAGAAGCCTTTGTTTGCAATTACAGAGGTCAAACATTTCCTGTAGTTCTTCACCTGGTTTGCACACACTGCAACAGGGATTTCGGCCCACTCCTCTACACAGATCTCCTCTAGATCTGTCAGGTTTCGGGCTGTCGCTGAGCAACACGGAGTTTCAGCTCCCTCCAACGACGTTCTATTGGATTTAGGTCTGGAGACCTGCTAGGCCACTCCAGAACCTTGATATGCTTCTTACGGAGCCACTCCTTGGTTATCCTGGCTGTGTGCTTCGGGTCGTTGTCATGTTGGAAGACCCAGCCACGACCCATCTTCAATGCTCTGACTGAGGGAAGGAGGTTGTTGCTCAAAATCTCACAATAAATAGCCCCATTCATCCTCTCCTTAATACAGTGCAGTCGTCCTGTCCCCGTTCGCGCAGAAAAGCACCCCCAAGCATGATGTTACCACCCCCATGCTTCACAGTAGAGATGGTGTTCTTGGGATGCAACTCATCCTTCTTTTTCCTCCAAACACAATGAGTGAAGTTTAGACCAAAAAGTTCTACTTTGGTCTCATCTGACCACATGACTTTCTCCCATGCCTCCTCTGGATCATCCAGATGGTCATTGGCAAACTTCAAACGGGCCTGGACATGTGATGACTTGAGCAGGGGAGCCTTCCGTGCAATGCATGATTTGAAACCATGACGGCGTAGTGTTCTACCGACAGTGACCTTTGAAACTGTGGTCCCAGCTCTCTTCATGTCATTGACCAGCTCCTCCCTTGTAGTTCTGGGCTGATTCCTCACCTTTTTTATCATCAGTGATACCCCACGTGGTGAGATCTTGCATGGAGCCCCAGTCTGAGGGAGACTGACAGTCGTTTTTAGCTTCTTCCATTTCTAACAATTGCTCCAACAGTTGATCTATTTTCACCAAGCTGCATGGCACTTGCCCCGTAGCCCTTTCCAGCCTTGTGGAGGTCCACAATTTTGTCTCTGGTGTCTTTTGACAGCTCTTTGGTCTTGCCCATGGTAGTAGTTGGCGTCTGACTGACTGTGGGGTGGACAGGTGTCTTTAAAGAGCTCAGACAGGTGCTACTAAGTTAGATTAATGAGTGGAGTAGAGGTGGACTTTTTAAAGGCACAGTAACAGGTCTTTGAGAGCCAGAATTCTTGCTGTTTCTTAGGTGTTCAAATACTTATGTTCAGCAGTGCAAGACAAATAAATTCTTTAAAAATCATACAATGTGATTTCCTGATTTTTTTTTTTTAATTCTGTCTCTCAGAGTGGGAATGCACCTACAATGTGAATTTCAGACCCCTTCATGATTTCTAAGTGGGAGAACTTGCAAAATTGAAGGGTGTTCAAATACTTCTGTTCTTCACTGTAAAGTATTAGTTGGCTTCAATATGTTAGTATATCTAACATTCTCCTCCCCCAGACCGATAGCGCTGCCAGTGGTGTCCCTAGGGGAGTGCGGGCCGCACTGGGTGACACCATCACAGGGGATGCAGAAGCAGGATGCCAGCAGAGCTTCTGGGCTCTGTGAAGGTCCTGGCCAGTTATTGGGGTGATCCCGGATTCCCGGCACAGTGAAAGCTGCTCTCGGTATAGCGGTAAAATGAGTATCCCGATCCGTGAAGATATGTATCCCCTGAAGCAACTGCGCATGAGCCGGTTTCAGGCCGAAGAAGCTGATCGCTGATCTCCGACTTTAGCACAGAGCTGCCACAGTTAACCCCTTACAGGCTGCAAACCACTGAAGCTGATCCTGTGGATCACTATGGGTTGTAAGATCAGTTAACCCCGTATAGGTTTAATTCTGCCCGTCCAGTAAAGGGAGTTACAAGAGACTGCTAAAGTTAGGTACTTATAGTAGCTGTATTTGGAAATAAATGTAACGATTTTTAATCTCCCTTTTTCCCTACAGTTCTGCTTTAAAGCGGAGTTCCACCTGAAAATAAAAAAAAAGTCAGCAGCTACAAAAACTGTAGCTGCTGACTTTTAAAATACAGCCACTTTTACCTGTCCCTTGGTCCAGCAGTGTCCTCCACCGTCTTCTCTCCCCGGCGCTGGCATCTTTAGTGTGGGCACCCAGCTGTGACAGCTTGCGGCTTCACAGCTGTATGCCCACTGCGCATGAGCGAGTAGCACTGCGCTTTGTGAATGGCCCCGTAGTCTTCTGGGACCTGTCACTGTCACAGAACACTACGATGAGGGAGTAGGGGAGGACAACTTCCGCTTCCGATCACCTAGGTGATCGCAGCGGAAGTGGAAGCAGGTACCTCCCCCCCCCCCCCCGCTCCCCAAAGGTGCCAATCCTTAATGGGGAGCGGAGGACAAAGGCTTAAAGCAGAACATCCCCTTTTGGGTGGAGCTTTGCTTTTAGAGAACAGGTTTGTTGAGTGAACGCAATGCCAGTTGTAAATTAGCCTGTGCAATCCTTTAGAAGGGTTTTAGGCAGACATTCCACATTGAGCAGTGTTTCACAAGGCTGCGGGCTGATTGCAGGTACAGGAATCACAGCTGTTCCAGCAACCACCTGCCGCTGAATCGCGCTGCTCTTGTGAGATGCATGGGGCTGCCATTAATTCTGAATACACCCACATGCAATTCAGCCCACAGTGCGATCGTGGGTGTGGGAACTGCATAGTCAAAAAGATCCCTGAGGATGCATTTTTGAAAAGCTGCATGGACCTTTTTATTTTTCGTAAAAAGCGGGTATAGCAGCCCATTCTGCTGTGCCCACACTCCGGTTTCCTCCCACACTCCAAAGACATGCTGGTAGGTTAATTGGCTCCTGTCTGAACTGTCCCTAGTATGTGTATGTAGGAATGTGAGTTAGGGACCTTAGATTGTACACCCCTTGAGGGTTAAGGACTGATGTGAATGTACAATATATATATGTAAGCACTGCATAAATTGATGGCGCTATATAAGTACCTGTAATAAATAAAATAAATAAACACAAGCCCACACTATTGTGAACCTAAAGACTGCTATCTGTATACCTATATAAAAATACTGTATGTGTGTATGTACATACAGTAATTGACATTTTTCTTACCTAGACACAGTTACGGGCTTGGAAAGCATTTATTTTCATTCCCTTATTCAGGGTTTTAGGAGAAAATGTAAATGACTTAATACCTCTGATATATGGGTTAAAGCGGTAGTAAACTCGTTTCTGGTACTTTTACCTATAGGTAAGCTGATAATAAATCTTACCTGTAGGTATAATGAATATCTCCTAAACATGCACCATTTAGGAGAAATTCCAGTGAGACGTCAGCGGCGCATGCACCCATGTCGTTCCTTCAGAGCTCCGTGCCTTGGCTGTGACTCCTGTGCGCATGCGTGGGAGTGATATCATGGCGGCTCGACCAATTAAATGGCCAGAGCCAGCGAATCCGGGAGGAAGACTGAGTGAAGATGGAACCTCTGTCAATGGTGACAGCGTGCTGCTGGAGTGCTTTGTTTTAAGGCACGTCTCTCATAATGTGCTAGTATGCGATGCATAGTAGCACATTATAACATTGCCTTGCAGGGGAAAATCTTTTTTTCTTTTCTTTTTTTTTTTTTTTAATTTTCACACTTTACTATCGCATTAAGTGGTTAGCACTTCTGCCATGCAGCACTAGGGTCCCCCGTCTGTATGCTGGTTAGGACACCCTCTGCATGGAGTTTGCATGTACTACCAGTGCTTGCATGGGTTGCATGTTTATAGGAAAGAACACAGAGATGAACTAGTCAGCATTCTGCTACTCTTCCTCTGTCCAATCAGTAGATGCATTAGAGTTGACCAAAGAAGCAAAACTTCCATTTTACCTCTAGTCACCTTATGAAATGGGTGAGTCCATTACTATGGGTGTCCCGTGCAGAGGACCTTTGCCATTAAAAGGATCTAGGTGGCACATATAGGCAGGCCATAGAATTGAGAATTCTGCTTGCAGTTCAGTATTGTTTCTCACGCTTTCCTTTCTGTCCTCATTTTTAGACTGACCGACTCCTGTAATTGTGATCTGAATTTAGGGGTCATCATTAGCATTGTATTCTTTTCCTAGAATGAAGGCAGGATGTGCAAAAAGAACCTGATAAAGACTGGTAACACATGTCAAGATATTTTAAGAAACAAGCTGTCACTTAGCCAAACCCCTAGCTTTTCGGAGATAAAGTGTATGTTGACTGCTATGATCTGGTATGTTAATGATCAGGCATCTGTTTTTCAACTTCTAGTAAGTGTAGTCAGGTCAAGACCATCTATTATCCATGGTGTGCTGAACTCCGTATGGAATGAATAGCCCATACAAACACGTACATTCCATAAAAAAGGGTAGTATATTGCAATGTATATAATAACATGAACAAGGCTGGGTAGCCATTGCATCATAGGTTTTTTTTATGAAATGTCTTCTTGGCAGACTGTTAAACAATTCAATGCTTGCAGAATGTATGTGCTTCATTTTATAAAGCAGGGGTTTCCAAACTTTCTAAACAAAGGGCCAGTTTACTGACGTTCAGACTTTAGGGGGGCTGGACTGTGGCCATTGGGAGTAGAAATTGTCCTGCCGTCAGTGGGAGTAAACATTGCTTCTTTGGCATTAGAGGGAGGAATAGTGCCCCATCGTGGTGTCAGTAGGAGGCATAGTGCCCCATCGTTGGTGTCAGTAGGAGGCATAGTGCCCCATCGTTGGTGTCAGTAGGAGCATAGTGCCCCATCGTTGGTGTCAGTAGGAGGAATAGTGCCCTATCGTTGCTGTCAGTGGGAGTAATAG